CTTCACCATATTTATTTTTATTTACTTCACTTCGATTTGAATCAGTCAAACCATCCCTGTGGGACTGGGACTGACTAATACCCATACCCCCATTAGCTTTTAGTCTTTATTCTTTTCTTATTTTACCTAGCTAGATACCCCCTTTTTTGAATTATTCAACCCTTTCATTACCATAAGTCCTGAATCATTGTGACACGCGTTCAAAGCGTTTGATGTTGACACATTACAAGGTTATTAATAAGTCTTACTGTTGCTTTCGAATTGTTAATACGAGCATAGTTATTGTGGGCTGGAATTGACAGGTTACGCCGACGGATTGCATGTCAAGCTGGGTCAAATGAACAAGGGTAAAGGGAGCCGGACTATAGCAGGGGGCTCTGGTTGGGTCTATTCGTAATACTTGACTAAAATACGAGTAACAGGTACGATGGATATTAAAATTCCCAAGGTTCCAGGTTCCAGGAAATGGGGAACAGGATCACCGGCCCGGTTCCCACTCCTATGGTCGTGCGTGGCTCATCATGTCAAACCCCTGTAGCATTACCTGTTTGAATTAACCGGGACGGCTTCCCCGACGGATTATCAAGAGAGACGAGTCTGACTGGAATCGCCAACGTGAAACATTATTCTACTGCTCGTATTTGTTATCAATCGTCTTTCACATTGTCCATCTAGTCGTAAAACTTTTTTTTTTTTTTTTTTTAAAAAAAAAAAAAACACTCCCCGGCCCTTGTCGTCGGGGACGCTGGGCCGGTAGCTTGAGACCAGGGTATGTAATGTTGGAGGCTGTACGCGTTAGATTCAGGGGGTTAAGTAATTACTCAATTGAATAATTGGATCGACGAATTCTGTTCCGCTGTCATTATCCTCGACACTGCCCGGTGCCGTGGTGATGGATTCATGATTTCGTGACTGGGGAAAGAAAGGGGGAGGGGGGGTTGTTGGATTCGTACATGCATGTATAATAGAGAATATATGTGTTCTGGATTTCGTACAAAACATGCAGGGCATTCACAATCAAGACAACGAATGCATGCTCCGGGGGGTTCGACAACCTCGTGCATGGCAACTCCATAGTATGCATAGTAGTAGTACGACATTGTGTTCATGATCGAAATAGTTTTTCGCTCATGAACAACAGTCTACCAGTCGTGAATCCGAAAAAGAGTCAATGCTACCCCAGTCTGGTCTGATTTCTTGTTCTTCTTGGGGTCACCCGCAGCCTGTCGAGTAATGCAAGGTCCTGCCTTGAAACGAACACCCGAGTCATGAACTTTTCCTTCGCGGCTCTGCGGCTCCGCGTCTCTGGAGTGTGGACGGGGTAAATGTGGAGTTTTGGAATCGGTACACTCCATATGGAGACAAAAGTAAAATATTTCATCGTATGAACGGGGGGGAATCGAACTCGATTGACAATAAGAGAATAAGAAAAGCATCGAAATGTAGCAGTCGTATTCTCTTATAGAAAAAAAAACCCCTTGCCTCTTGCCTTGGCTACACGTGGTGCTAACAAACCAACCACATGGTTTGCAACTTTATAGGTTCCACGAAATGTGAATATGTTCCCTCATATCAAGCCCCCGGTGGTGACGACGGTGAACGGTTTCTGAGGCGACACAAGAGTTGCTTTGACGAGTACGCTGTGAACATGAGTATATCCTGCAGTGTATGATGTGCGTATAGTATACAGGGCTGCAGGTCATGCATATTCACGGGTTGGATCCGTGTGTAATATCCAGTACGGGGCGTAGGAAGAGGTATACGATATGAGGCCAGGAGGTGGGACTGCGTAGCACCGAGGGTTCATGGGCCATGTTCGCCTGCCATTGGCAAGTCTCTGTAGTGAAGACTTCAAACGTCTGTACTCGAGGAACGAAAGCTTCATGATGTCAAGGGTGACTCTATGTGCTGTATGTAGGAACGTCGCGTTCTGTATATGCTACACGTGGTAAGAGCCATCTTGCTCCATCTTAGACGATGATTTGTGAGGCCGTATATATACAAGCTTTGAATTCTTGGCCGCACTCGCATACCACCACGTCGAGTAATCGCTGTCTTGCCGCAAGACAAGGGGCTGGCGAATCAAGTAAGAGCACGTTGATTGCGGATGAACACGAGACGGCCAGGCGACGGCCAAGAGACATATACAGAGCAATACACGATAAACGACTGACAAGTCATGTGCTCATGAACTAACAGCAGCGAAACCTATGCGACGTTCGAGGCTCAAGCCCACCATGCGGAGCATATTGCAATGTGCGTGTCGCCGTCCTCACACGTTGGATTAGAACCGCATCGCATATACAAGTCCTCGTAACGTCATATCCGTCTATGACCTCTCGGTGTTGTCACCGATCACACCTGGGAGTCTCTGGATATACTTGTTCCTCCTTGACTCACAATGATGGGGCGCGTCTTGGATCGGTCCCTGGCAGCGGTACTATCTGCATTGCAAACTTCGCTAGAAGCGAGCAGCGACATCTCTACAGCGCCAGGTCTCTCACTGTCATCTCTCCAAGCTACAAAGTAACCCCCGACTTATAGACACGCGGTAATACCAACAAGGGAAACCGCCAGAATAACCGAACCCCTTTGAAAAAGGCACTACCGCGAGTTACGACAGACGACGGAATCCTACGCAGAACCAACCTTGACCACACCCGTATCGTCCTCGTCTCTCCGGTAACTGGCTTTCCACTCCAGGAAGTCGAGCCTAGACGGTGACATGGCACGGAAGATTGTAGTCGAGCGAGGCAAATCCCGATGAAAATCAGATGGATCATCCGAGTGATTCTTCTAGGTGAAGGTGACTGTCCCGGAAGTGCCCGGAAATCTCTGTCAAGAGGCTTAGCGTATATACTGCCCGTATGAATCCCACGAAGATGCCGATGACGGCCTCGCCTTGATTCATCCCTTTTCGTTTCCTTGGCGAGCGTCCCTTGGTGCGTATGCTCGCTTAAAAGCTACAGATCCGTGCCATACAGTACTTTGACATGGACCTTGGCACTTTGTAGACTTGTGTGTACTAGGCAGTCGGACGGTCAATGGGTTGATGACGGAGTCCTCAGGACTGGCATCATGAATATGCACATGCTATACTACGGCTAGTGTCAAGATCATCATCACCTTTCCAGGAAAAAAAAGAAGGAATTTGCCACACTACACAGATAGATACTTGTCATGTCACTCAGCGAACGTCAACGTCATGTTCACTGCTGGGGGAGGCACCTTGCAACTGTTTACTTTGAAAATTCGGGAATACACGTACACGACGGGGAGGCTCGTCCCTAAGGGCTATAGTGTAAGAGCAAATCTCGCGCCAAGCTGGAAGGAAAGGGACGGTGATAGAAACGCAGAGCGAGGCAGAAGTGGCTGTCTTGACAAGCCTGTCAGATACGATGTAATGGGATACCAATCCATGGGCAGATATAGGAATCGATGTCCGTTATTCTGCATGACGAGTAAGTTTGCATCGGCTTCAACTTGTATGGATATCAGATACTAGTACTAGCACTACTAGAACTATACCGCGCGTACGCAGCTGCTTTTAGAGTGATGGTAGATGGCAGACACAACTTCTGTGCCATGCAAGACCCGCCTCGACATCAACTGTTGGTGACGCACGTGGAGAGGTGCTATGTGAGGCGACATGGTGTGTCAAGGCTTGGTGTCTGCCATGGGCAGGGTTCGTTTCAGCACTTTTCTCAACTGATTTGGCCATCTCTGCCTGAATGGTTGTTGGCCAACTCCGCCGGAAACGAGATACGGGGTTGCATCTACTTGGAATAAGGTGGCGGCCACCGTCTTTCTTGTACATACGGGACGGCACAACCTGCATAGACAGAGGCTGGGAGGCTGACAGCTGCATTCACTACTCAGTGATATAACATGCCTGGGGTAAGCCCTGTAGAGAAGCCGGGAAAGGCTCGAGTATGGATCCGGCCCTGCTGCTATTGAGGATGACGAGAGAAGTCAATATTGTGTTGGTGGTGTTGTCATCTGGAACACCCGTCACTCACTGCCAACTTCTCGCTTATCCATTGCCCATCTGGGCCGACAAGATAGACGAGAAAATGGATGCAACCTGTAAGTTATATATGTAGAAGACACTAGACTAAGTCATCTCACAAGAAGGTACACATGCCACCCACAACAATATCCGTTTCTGGGAGTCGGCACCACTAGTTCCCGAATAGAGTGTGACGAGGCTGGAGGTTCGGCAGAGCAGCGTGCTCCTGCCGTCGAGCCGGCCTCGTTTGTTGGTCACGAGTTGTGATTACTTGGATCAGAGAGCCGGAAAGCTGTTGATCCGAGAGGACTGCTATCGCGGAGTATCAGTGCTTGGAGCCAAATTTGTCAGCTGTCCGTGGTGGTTGACAACGATCGGGTATGAATAGATCTCGCTACAGACGGAAGGCCCGTACCGCGCCGAGGGCAACGTGCCCCAAGCGGTGTAATAGAGGAGGTGATTGTCGTTGGGTTCACAGAACCAACGGCATAAACGAGAGAAGAATTGAAGATGGCGCGAGGGAGGTGAACAGATGGGAAACAAACAAGTTGCGCTCATCCCGTAACTGACATGCATCAAGTTAGAGCTTGCCTAAATCTGACCAGGCTGAGGTGGTCAGGCTGTGGGGAGCATACGGAGAAAATATGGTTCATGCTTGTTGTGATGAGCATCGAAGAACCAAACCTCCCTCCTCCCGTCACATCGTATGGACGGAGAGTTAATTTCCGCCCCTGCACGGCGTTGCGGAAGACTTGAGCCGGTGGATGACTGCGCAGATCGGTGCAGTTGCCAGTCGGACTAGTAGACTGTAGTCAATCTGCAGAGACGTGGGCCTTAGATAGTAGGCTACATGTAGTAGTACATGTAGACTATGTGATTTCTGTGGCTCCTCTCGTCTGCTTGTGCCTATAGAGGGATCCTATCGCCTCGAACAACCAACAAGCTTGAGCCAGAATATGGAGAGGGGTAAGGAGAATACTTTCCATGGAGAAGAGAAGGATATTTGAACCGAAATATTGGGCAAGGTAGTTGACGAGGGTAGAAGGTGACGCATTTTTTCCACTACAGGCGACGTGTGTATAAAATCACTGTACTATACACCACATGTTGGATATCTTCCTGATTCAATATTGGCACGTTGCTTGTTGTTATAAGAAGGCAAGAGGAAGAAGAGAGGGAAAAAGCAAAGGAGAGTGAGTACATGTACGAAGTAATACAGAGTAGAGAAGAGAAGGTGGGGGAGAACCATCAGAGTGGAGACGGGAACGGGGCGGGCAGTTACTAAGCTTGGCTTCTTAGGTACTAGCTTGGGCACTGGAGAGGCCTGTAAGAGACCTGTATGGCCTGCTACAGGCTCTTGAACAATAGTACTCGTACAGGTAAGTACACTGGCTGACTGGTACTTTCCCGTTCAGAATGCTGGCGAATCGGATCCTTGGCGGTAGAAGTGATGGGCATCCCCATTGGCCAGATCGTTGCGCGCACTTGCATAAGCCGTAGCCAACGGGAAGGCGCGATCAACGTCGGCGCTTGCTCAGGCGCTTCCATTGAACATCGTCGCTGACGGGCCCCGCAATCCAGGGTTCCAGTCAATCCAAGGTCAACCCAACCAGTCCAACCAGTCCAACCATCATCTCTCGCATAACTCCTATTCTCTTCCTTTTTTTCTTTTTCCTTTGGTTAATCAAAAGTCCATGGCAAATGGAGGGCTTGTATTGCACAACTCCACGAGAAACCTAGCTGCAGGCACTGGACGTCTTCGGTTGGCTTCGACGCTGCTGCTACGCAGTATTGGTCTGAGGCTCCAATACAGAAGATGGAATGAGAGCAAACCAGGATCAACATGGGGGAGGGAGGTGAAACCATCAGATCGGGTGAGAAAACAACCTGATGTCTATGAATACGACGTACGAGTACTTACGCTATGTACGGAGTGCTCATATTCTCGATATCCTCGATATCAACCCGTAACTGACCTGACAGACTGCAGGTCCACCACACTCCCGTGAGCCATGGCTGCCGTTGCCCAACCACCAACCTGTTCCCGTCCCATCACGCAGCAAACAGGGCCGTTTATTCTTTTCTTTTGTTTAGTACAGGCATTATGCCATGCGTGGCCCGAGACCGTATTATCGACTTACTCTCTATTAATATATAGCTACTACTCGTCCCACAACCACCATGAGCCTTGCCGCATGCCACCTCATTAGCTGATTCGTGCAGGCGGGCGCCTGGGGCATGCATGACCCTTGATAGCTTGGATGCTGCCGCTCCATGTCCGGCTCTTTTGACTCAACCTGTTTGTACGTATCTCGACAGCCCCCTTGTCCGTGGCAGCGCCCTAATTTCATGTACCAGCTCCCCTCGTCCACTTACGGGCTCGCATTTGTCCCTCTAGGCGCCATACTCCGACCTTGTCCCATGGCCCCTCATCGTCACACGCTGCGTATGGAGTAGTCTCCTCCTCTACGAGAGTACGAGTACACCACACCTCGACTACTACGAGACTATTCCGTACTATCCAGGATAATACACACACACACGCGCGCGCGCGCGCACACACACACACACATCATAATCCATGATATATGCCCCCTTCCTTATTCCCTCCTGCTCGTACTCGTGCGTCTCCCCCCGGCCTAGCGTCTCGTCTGCCCCGTCTTGACGTCTTCCCTCTTCCATCCAGCACTGTCAGACTACGAGTAATACTGCGAGTACCAAGGTAGCATCGATAACTTCATAACAGACAAGGCCGATACCCCCCAAACAGGCTGCACCTATAAGCGCCCGACCCACTCCTTCCCCCCATCGGGTAACAGCAGGTCTTCGTGCTCATCCTCCTGCAAAACCGCCACGCAGCCCACACACCTGCACCCTCTTTACTCTTCTCGTCTCCTTCTGCTTCATTCTGTATGAGTAGAACCTATCTACATACATCCTCTGAGCTCGGGACGAAAACCTCTCTTTGTTTCGAACTCGACACATCCATCCTGCGCCGCGTGTCTACGATATCGATAACTTACACCAGCAACTTACAACCCGTTCCCAACGAGGAATCGCCACTACAGAGACAACTTCCAACGGGCCCTGCGACACTGGGTCCCAGCCAACCTGGACAGCCAACCTGGACAGCCAAACTTCTTTGCCCTCTGCTGTCAACCAGCTGAGGGAAACGCAGCCTCCCGATATACCATCCTCGAGTGTCGCTAGAAACGGACACCCCATCACACAGAGCCATTCCCTAATCCCGAGGTTGCTTGCCGTGCACCGTCACACACAGCCAGTCCCCTGCTTCTACGACGAGCGTCTTCGGGGGACGACTGTCTTTCTCGACCGGGCCCTTTCGTTGTCTTGAGAAGAGGTTTGTCGTTGCTCTCAGCTCTTACACACCCCGCCACTCAATCGGCCTTGCGGCCATCCCGACGGAGGGGCGCTGTGGGGTCCAGTGACGATATCTAGCTTGCCATATCCATCCCCCGATCAGATATCCCGGCCGTCGAAATGAGCACGGGAAAGTCTTCGGCCGTGCGCCGTGCGGCCGCAAGCGACTTTAGCACAATGCCGCCGACACAGGATCTTCGTCACTTTGATCCCTGCGCAGCAACTGGGTCTATGTTTCTCTATGCTCAGGGCACTTCGATTGTCTGCTGCCACCACGACACGTTAACCATCGAGAGGAGATTCTCCAACCATTCTGAAGAGGTCCAACTCCTGGCAGTCGACAATCAAAGTGAGACGGGAAGTGGACGATTCGTCGTCAGCTACGATGCTGGCCAAACGGCCATTGTATGGGACTTGATGACAGGAGACGAAATCACCCGATTTGCGTCGTATAGCCACCTCACTGCTGCGGCGTTCATGCCCAACGGCAGTGTCGCATTTGGTATGCCTCTCCACCTCTATCCCGCTTTCCCCCGTCAGTACAAACAAGAAAGGCAGGCATGTCTTTCTTATAGAGGCGGACATTGCATGCTAACCACAACGCAGGTAATTCGCAGGGAAGCGTCGTGCTTTTTGAGCCGCAAACATCGGAGCACGTCTCATCAAGGACCCTGGATCAGATCGCTATCACGTCAATTGCTCCGTCTTCTGACTGCAGGACATTTGCCCTTGGGTATGTTATCTACCTCATCTGCCATCTACCCATACGTTCAAATTCTAACGAGACATCAGCTATCAAAATGGTTCCCTGCTTATTGCCACCCTTCAGCCTCGATTCAGCATTCTTCACAACCTCGCTACATCGAGGACGCCTTCGCCTATCGTCACACTGGCCTGGCATGCATCCTCATCTCGCCAAAAATCCGACATGCTCGCAACCCAAACATATAGCGGGGACCTCCGCGTCTGGAGCGTCTCCAAGCCCTACTCGGCTGATGAGCCCGCCAAAGTCGTCAGGATCCTTAAGCGGTCAGACAGCATTTCAGACGGACCCAACTGGATGGGATGGTCCAAGAACGGTCGCATCATTCAGTTTTCTGACGGGTAAGCACACATACGAAATCGATCGTGCGCAATCTCCAAGGAAAAATATAGGACTGAACTGACATTAGATGGCAGCCAAACTCTCTCGTGGGACGTGAGAACTAAGCATATCACTTCTGACAACATCCCCACTCTCGATAAAGTAAAGGGACTTGCCCTCTGGGGGCCTGGGGCCAGCCTCTTTACCCTGGGCATGAACAACACCCTACAACAGTTCGACCTCAACTCTCCGTCTATCATGGTGGCCAACGTTCAGCACCCGGCCAATCTGTTGCCACCTTCGCCTCCCAACTCAATCGAAGAGGTTGGCATGAAGTCAGCCCACTCTACTACTACCACTATCCAGACGACGTCCGAGTCGGAGAGCTCTGCGCCCAACATTTCCGAGAGTGATGAGGACCATATGCCGGCAATTGCCCGCTTCAACCGTCGACCCGGCCCGGACTCGGGCACTGAGTCATACGAATCATACAGCCCCGGCTCAAGCAGGAGCGGACTTTCTTCACGGTCAAGGTCTTCTGCAGCTTCGCGAACTCCGGGACGCTCTCTGGCATCTGGGCCCAAGAGTGACTACACGTACATATCTGCCGGAACTCCCATCAGCCAGTCTACCATCGGTCAGAGGCGAGAGGCGGATAACTACTCCATGGGCTACTCGATTGGCTCTTCTAGCGTCACATCCGCATCCTCGGTGTCGCATTCCGGGCGCAGGCCTTCCCGCCTGCGTCACGAGGTACCTAGGAGCCCGGATGACAACAGGGTTCATGATCTCTTCAAATTTACAAGAACTCGTCTGAGCGACGTGCCTTACAAAGCCCCGTCCAAACCAGACAATGTCCGCCTCACAAACGATGACCTTCGCCGTCAGATGCTGAGCACCATCTTCGGGTGGGATTCCGATATCAAGGAGCTCATCGTCGATGAGATGAACCGCCATCCCACCGGCTCTTCCAGCCGCATTCTCCTAGCCAAGTGGCTGGGGAACATGGAGATTGACATAATGTCAGCCAGCACCGAGAACATGACATCGTCAGACTGGATGCTTCTAGCCCTAAGCGGAATTGGCGGCCACGCCTCGCAGCACAAGCTCGGGCGTACCTACGTACAGCGTCTTCTGGAGACGGGAGATGTGCACGTCGCAGTGACCATTATGCTGGGAATGGGAGACCACAATGACGCCATTGAGGTGTACATCTCCCACAAGCGTTACATGGAGGCTCTCATTCTAGCCTGCCTGTGTCTACCCGGCGTATGGGAGCGCCAGGCTGCCATACTTCGCAAGTGGGGTGAGTGGGCTGTCCAGCACCACCAGCAGCAGCTTGCCATCAGATGTTTTGCCTGCACCGACCAGGAGCCCACCGAGATGTGGACATCACCTTCGGCCCAGCAGCTCAACTTTACCAATATCACGCCCAGCATTCCAGAAGTCCTCAGTCCTCCCCTGTCCCCACCGGGAGTTCAGCGTGGTCCTCAGCGCAGCGTTGGCAAGAATTCGGCCCTGAAACTTATCACTTCCTTTGGAGACCACTCTCAAAAGGCCAAATTCTACTCCCAGAGCGACGACATGCAGACCCCAATCGCTGCCGGAGTCACACCCATCGCCGAGTCGGCTGTTTCTCCTGGTGGCTCTTATGACGCTGCCACTGCCTTCCTGCGCCCTTCGAACAACAGCAGGTTCAACACTCCTGTCTCCGCCAGGGGCAGGGCTCGGCTGCCATCGATTGGCGAGATCCCACAAGACCTCAACAGGGAGACTCTCAGGGGCAAAGCCGGCCACTCCCGCGCCGCCTCTGGCAGCCACAGCAACCTCTCGATAGGCCAGTCCCTGCAGCGTGCGGCTACGGCGAGCCCTATGATGATGACGAGCGACCCCCCGCCACCTCCCGGCAGCGCATTCCTCAACAGGATGGAAGAATTCCGCACCAAGAGTCGCAATGGATCTCGTGACCGCATCCCTCTCGGTGTTAACCTGGAGCTGCACACTGAGCATGGTACACCGGCCGATGTCACCTCTCCGGATCAGTCAGTGGCCTCGTCTACACGGTACCACTGGCCGACCAGGCGCCGTGGTGCGGGCTCCATAGCGGGCTCCCTGACTTCGGCCTCGAGTGCCGGGAGGAGCATGCGCAGCAACGTGAGGAGCAAGGAGGACTACATCCACAGTCTCGACACGGCGCAGCGCTACTCCAAGAAGAAGAACAGCAGCCGTCATCGGAGCAGGAGCCGCAACGGAAGCCGCAGCCGCGAGAGGCGGCCGGGGTCCCGAGAGCGGTCCGAAGACCGTGGCCGTAGCACCAATTGGCAGAGTTCTGCCAAGAGGTCTCCGACCTCTCCGGTCCCAATGTCTCCCGAAGACCTTGCCAACCTCAGCACGCCACGCTTCTCCGAGGTTGGGACGGAACCTTCAACGGTTCGCAAGGCCAGGTCCAAGCAGAAGAGCCGCAACTCGAGCCGCGGCAGCCGTAACCGCCACAACAGCCCGGACTCCGCCAAGCCACGCCCTCTTGCTCTGGACACGACGCGGGGTCGCGGTAGCGCACAGGAAAGTTCTTTCCAGCGGTCCCCGTCTTCTCCCCTGCCTCGGTCGGCCTCGGCTGCCCACTACCAGGGATCCGAGGACGAGGAAGACTACCAGAGGGCCATCCAGGCGCAGGAGATGTTCAGGGCCAGGCATCAGTCCAGCCGTGGTGTCACCTCGCCCATTGTTGGAAACGATGAGCCCAGCAGTGGCTCGCGTCTCAGGGCGGCTTCGGAGTCCAAGGAGCTCCATGCTCTGACCGTTGCCTCGCTGGCTACTCACTCACGAGCCACGTCGACAGAGCATGCGGGCGATCTGCGTCGTATGAAGGATGAGAGACAGCTCAAGAAGGAGCAGGCCGCCAGGGAGCTTGAAGAGCGTCGCAAGTCGCTAGCCCAGCGTTCGCGTGCACCCGCCATCCCGAACCCTTCGGATCAGCTGCATGTCTTGCCCCTGCGCATCGGCGTCGAGATGGCGGAGCCCGCATGGAATGAGGATCTGCCTCCGCGAAGTGCGACGGAACCCCCGCCCCAGGGCATGTACGCCAGGGGCGGCCCCAATGTCGGCCTGCCCGCAACCCCCAAGGCAATGCGTCTTATCATAGGTTCGGACGATGATGCGCTCAACATGGCCCAAGAGCAGAATGCAAACCTACCCGGCGTGCCACCGATCCCGGCCACATTTGCCCAGCGACACTCGCCCAAGGTGTCGCCGAATGCATCTGAGGAGGAACGGGAGAAGAAAGATGAGCCTGCTCCCCTTACTCTCCTCCCCTCGACCGTGTACCAGCCACCTCCCAGGCTGGGTATCCCCCGAAGCATGTCGGCCCCCATCCCTCAAGATGGCCAGGACCCTAGGCACGCACGCAGACACGGAAGCGGGCACTCGAGGAATGCACCAGGCCGCCGCCCGTCGCAGGGCGAGCAAGGCATTCCACCGCCGCCGCCACCTCCGCCGGCACCCCCCATGCTCAAGGAGCTCCAGCACCTCGCGACTCCTCCTCCCCCACCACCGGCTCCTCTCCCCCCTCATTTCAGGAGGGGAAACAGCCAGCCGAGCGGCCTCTCGGCCGGCACAATTGAGATTGTCATGGACGATGATGATTCCGCCCCGGTCGCCGTCCCTAGCGACGGTACGGTTCCCGTGATTGCACCGCCGGCACCACCCGCATCCCGAGGCCACAGCAGGGGCCGGAGCAACGGTGGCGACAGCAATGCCAAGTTCTCTGACCGGATCTCCAAGGCCACAGAGCGTCTCCGTTCTGCTAGTCGTGGACGAAGGGAGGCCCAGAGGGTGACAAAGGTAGATGCGGCGCCTTATGAGAGCGTCCCTATGCCCCCTCAGCCGCCGAAGACGGCACCCCCTATCCATTACGACCCGGATGTCGTCCGCTCTCCCGTCGAGGGCCACGGGCTGTCCCACCGATCCACCGGGCTGAGCCTTGACGAGAGGTTTTAAGTACTCTTTCCTTCTTTTTCTTTTCTGCATTGTTTCCATACCCTCCGGTGTCTTTGTCTTGCGCTTCGGGGCTTTCCCTTGTGTCATCTGCACTTTCGAAGATGTATATATATATCAAGGTCAGATGGTAGCAAGGATTTTATACTCTCTTCTTTTCCCCCTCTTTTTTTGATCTTTCTTCGTTTTTCAATGACTTATGACATTTCTCATCTCTTCTTTCCTCTGCTTAATTCTTCATGTTGTTTGTAAGCAGGCTCAAATTATGTTTGGTTCGTCACATTTCTGTTTTCTTTCCTTTGCTATTGGTTGGTGATTGAATCATTACTTTTGTTATTTCTTTTCCCTTCTGTCTATATCAATTCACGACATCATGATCTTGGACGGGGCGGGCAAATGAGGTAGGGGGAAGACATATTATATAAGAACATAAAAAGGTGCACCGTTTGATATGGGTGATTGGAGTGGTGGAAGTATGGAATGGAAGTGTATTGGGTTTACTTTTTTTTCTCTTCTTCTCGATACAATGCTGCCTCACGGTAACTTTGTTATTATAATCTGCTATATTCCTATATCTGATTTATTTACTTGGCTGAGATGCAAATCTGGCCTGTGTGGGGTTTGTGTGTGGTGTGCTTGATTGTAGTAGTAATTAATGACTTTGCTGATGATGGCTTCACAGAGGGCGAAAAGATGGACCATGAAAATGTTCGAATGGGCCTGTACACAAAGCAACATATATTTTACAACGGACAAAAAGAGATCAATATCTTCATTATGGAGTAACTTACCCTGCAGTATTTTTTGTGAACGATATTAATAAAATGGTGAGGTTCAAAATGATAAAAAAAGTAGTCGTGCAGCTCCATCTCGAACTGCCTCACCAAGCCCCCCACGTTCGTAATCCAACCCGCCACGCGACGGGGAGAATGCCTCTGCAGAGTGAAGCCTCCCTGAAGTATCATTCTCAACGCTTAGGGCCAAGCAACCACAGAATCGCAGGTTACCCATGCGAGTGGGCGGCCACCGCGGCGTTCGGGCTGGGCGACATGGAGGGGATCTTACGGGTTTGGTAAGAGCAAGTCAAGATAACTGAGCGTCTTCTACCATTAGACCATTACAGCCGAAAACTTGAGGCTCTTTTTGGGCTTATAAAGGTTACCCGTAGTTCCAGAGGCGTTCCGTACCCGAAGTTTACCCAAGTTTAGTAGTTGGGGTAGGTGCTGTACGTACTATTACTACACCACTAGAGCTCTGGAATGGGGAAAGGAGGACTTGGAGAGAGAGAGAGAGAGAGAAGGGAGGAAAGTCAAGGAAATCAAAAAGAAAATGTTGACGGCTTCCCCCCGCCTCCGGATAAGGCGCCCATCGCCTACGACGGTCGAATTCACGGTCACCACGCTACCCAGACAGACGCTCACATTCACACTTCTCCGGACGATACTCCTCGTTGTGCGCGTGGCACTGGGGCTGTCCATCTTGGCCGTCTCGTACGCTCGACTCTCCCACTCGATATCTACATATGCACCTTCTTCCGCTACCACGACAGCCACATCATCTCCATCCCTAGAAGGAACGGAGGAACAGGAAGGAGGAGGAGGAGGAGGAAGAAGAAGAGATGGCTATGGGACACTTCGTGTGATTCTCTGGGCGATGCACAGCGTCCTGCAGCGCTTCTACACGTACACGAGTCTGGGCGTGGCGCTGCGCGGCCTGGCCCTCGCCACGCCCGTTGTCGTGCTCGCCCCGGCCACGGTGCTGCTGGCGTACGCCGTGGTCTTGCGTGTGCACACGTCCGAGTCGCTGCTCGTGCTGAGGGGCCTAGGCGTACAGACCAGCTGTTCCCCGCCCACCTACTTGGGCGGGTCGTCGGGTGCGACGCGCTTCATCCCCACCGAGAAGATCCGCGACATACTCGTCAATGAGGCGTTTCGCGGCTTCGAGGTGAGGTACTATCTTGTCGTCATTGTTGAGGATGAGCCGGATGTCGTCGTTGTCTTCCCGAGACTGCTTCCTCCGCGGGCTATCGTCGAGACGGTGTGGAGGGCCGCACGGGAGTGTTTGTATGAGCCGGCAAAAGGGTAAAACATTGATTTTTTTTTCTTACATGCATATATAGCGTGACGTTGAAACGGAGAAATGACGTGCTGTGCGGGTTTTCTTTTATTTCCTAAACAAGAAGAAGAAACATGATCGTCTGTAGCATAGATAGGTAGGCATGTTATCCCCCCTCTTCCATCTTTTCAAATTTGGCCATCCTCTCCTTCATCAATTCGGCGTGACTGGAAAACCCTTTGCGCTGTGCGTACCGGTCATTCTGCTCCTGCGGCGAGTCCATGAGCTTCATGACCATAATGGGGAGGTACTTGCCCACCGCGCGGGCGCCATTGCCACCCTCGAAGCGTTTGATTGAGTACTCGCCGCCTAGACCGGCCCTCTTCTTCTTGCCCCTTGTCTCGCCCTGCTGATGCTGCTGCTGCTGCTGCACATCGCTTGTCTCTTTCCTTGCCGCGCTGACCCCTTGGGCGACTAGACGCAGCAAACCGCTGGCAAGAATCTCGTCCATCTTTACCTCTCGCCACAGCCGCCACAGCGACTCGGTTGTGTCAAAGGCCGAGGTGTTTCTGCCGTCGACGTAGATCCAGTCTAAGTCACGGCCTTGGTCGTCACGGAAGACGCAGTCCCACAGGACAAGAGGCACCTCGTCGGCCATGGTGTACGTCGGCCGGCGGGGGTTAGCCTTCGTATCGAGAAGACGGGTGACGATGTCGGGCTTTTCGAGGCCCTGCCCTACGTGAAACAGAACGGAGACCATGTGGCGAATCTGGTGCCACAGGAAGGCCGTGCCCCTCACGCGGAAGTAGTACACCTTTGGGTATGGGGAGCCATCAGGGGGCGCGACTGCCGTGTCGGGTAGAAGATGGGGCATCGTCGTGCCCATTCCCTCGGCCTCATAAATGTTGGACTCGAGAATGCCTCGACGGTATGTGGTGATGTTCTTGGCCGGGTCAATCTTGCAGAAGTTTTGAAAGTCCTGATCGCCCTCGAAGCGCGACGCGGCGTCGCGCATAGCATCAATATCGAGCCACCCCGTGTGGGGTTGGTCGGCCGCCGCGGGCCCGATGGGGGGGTTGAAGGCAGGCTGCGTGAAGAAGTAACGGTACTCCCTCTCACGGCAGGAGAAGCGCGCCGAGAAGTCGGCCGGCGGGGTCGGGCACCACGCCAGCACGCGAATATCCCGGGGTAGTAGACGGTTGAGGATCTTGGGGTACTCTAGCTCGTCTGCGATGGGGTCGAATGGCGGGGGCTCCCTGGCCTTGGCCTCCTCCTCCGTAGTCTTAGGTTGAGGCCCTACTGCTGCTGCTGCTGCTGCTGCTGCTACTTCACCCTCATCCTCCTTCCTCTCCTTCTTCTTGCGCTTCATCCTACCGGGTACCGGCTTGGCACTCCGCACCCGTATACCAATTACCTGGCCAAAGGCACTCACACCCCGGTCCGTCCTCCCGCACTTGGAGTACTCGCACGTGCTGAAATCGACGGCATTCTGGTCCTCAGGGAAGATCAGGCACGCGCGCGTCAGGGCCTTGAAGAGCTCCTCCTCCACCGAGGGCAGGATGCCACTGGCAGAGTACTCGAAGCCGCCATAGTTCTTCCCCAGGTAGGCAAGCTTGAGAACAATATAGCGCGTGTTGTAGTTGGCCGGGTCAAGCTTGGCCGTCTCCTTGCGCTTCTTGGGGGCAGGGGCAGGGGCAGGGGCGGCGGCGGCAGCAGGTGCACTTGCCACCACTTCCTTCGGCTGCTGCTGTTCTGATATCGGCAGATGTTTCTGGAGCTCGGCCTCAACACGGCGCAGACGCTCTATCAGCCCGTCCTTGGTCCACTTAGTGTAGTCATGCCCGGAGGTGTTGTCGCCCATCTTCCTTCGTCGAGGCGTACCGGCGGCGGCGGCGGCGGCACGTGAGTAAGAGCGGGATGCACTTGGGATTAGAAGCGATTCAGCAGGGGCACAGCTCTTTAAGCTGGCACGGAGCCGTCGCATGAGAGGGAGGGTATGAGTTGTGTGAAAAATAATGAAAAGAGGACCCGTTCTCCTGGTGTTAGCGCACCACTTGCGCTCTCATACTCTCCTGTGTCATGCATGGGCTTGGACGTTGTGTGTGTGTGTGTGTGTGGTTGAGTGTGTGTGGATTGGTGGGAAATACTTGTATTGTGGCTCAGCTCTGCCCAGTGTGGCGCAACCCACCTCATATGTCTAATGTACACTTTTGTTGCAAGCTCAACCACCAGGATTCTGTCCCTATCAACACCCTTCAACGAGTCATATTCTTAATCTTCCGTCGTCTCGGAACTCCCACCATATTGAATCTTTTCTACGAAAATACTCTGCCCAACCGTCACTCCACCCCATAGTACCCGCCCAGGCTCAAGCGCTATCAGCGCAGGACGATAGTACATGAGGAAGAGAGGTGTACAGAGGTGTCTCGACAGTCTAAAGGTATTGGAGGCTGGACGCTGGAGGCTGCGCCCCATACAGAGTGTGCATTGCTACCATGGATAATGAGTCGGTTGTTCTCAAGATGTTGCTCGTAGGAGATGAGAAATGCGGCAAGACTACTTTTCTCTCGTACGTGAACCTGGGTATCTCTTCAATTGTCTTGTGATGGCAGAAAATAAATAATATATTAACAAAAGACCAGGAGGCTGAGTGCCGGCGAGGATGTCAACCCCATCCCGCTCCTCCGAGACATAGACCAGCCTTTCATATTTGAGATCAAGCTCTCCGGTCAAGACTACCGTCTAGAATTTTACGACACTTCGAGTCCCGAGAATTGGCGCTTGCTAAATCCCGACGTCGTCACATTGTGCTACGACATAAGCCAACGCCTCAGCCTCATCAATTTGCAGCGATATGTGAGTTATTTTCCTTCAAGTACAACAGGTGACGCATGCATACATGTTTTGACACCTGCTTTAGTGGATAGATGAGGTGCGTAGATCGTTTCGGAGCGAGGGCCGTGGCGACGTGCTGCCCATCGTGGTCATGGGTCTGAAGAGGGATCTCCGGTCCGAGGATGACCCCAATGGCCTGATCCTCCCGCAGGAAGCGTACCAGATGTCCCAGACCATCCGGGCAGATCGGTACGTTGAGTGCTCTGCCGTGACAGGTGAGCTGCTCAAGCCGGCGTTTGAGGACTTGTGCAGAACAGCCGTCAAGACAACGACGGCAGCCGGCGGACAGAGTGAAGGAGGCTGCACTGTCATCTGAGCCATTCTTCAGGAGAAGGGGGAGGAGGGGAGATGGGATGAATAGAGGCAACACACAAATCAGGACGCAGCTGCGGCGGCGGCTGCGGCGGCATCTTCCATAGTGGCATCCTCCCTGTTGGCGCCCTCTCCCTCCTCTGGAGGAGGGGGGAATTGCCCCAGAAGGCTAGCCACAATGGCCACCAGCTCCTCCTGCTGCTCTTCGGTAAAGCGCTCAGCCATGTCTTCGACGACGGTGTTGAGGGCGGCTACAGAGGCGGGACGGAGGTTGAGAACCATGACCACCTCGCCCTTGGACAGATCATATGGGCGTAGGCGCTCCAGCAGAGTCGGGATGCTGGTGGCGTTGTAGGGCATGGGTTTCTGACCCATGGGGCTGGGAGGGACCTCGAGCCAGTCTCGAAGCTGCGAGGGAAGTCAGTATTGTTATATGGGAGATGTGTTCCGACTGCAGATAAAAAGACTCGAGAGTAAACATACCTCTTTGACGACGGTCTCATAGTTGGGGGGGCCACGACGACGAGCCTGCTTGTTACGCTTCTTGAGATCGACGACGTGCTGGTAGACCTCAAAGTTGGAAAGGACAGCAGACTGTGCCTCTAGAACCTTCATGATGGGCAGCTAGGAAAGGGAGGGGAGGATGAGGACGATTTGCAGTGATTATCTGAATGTATGTATGCGGGTTGCGGGGATTGGATGTCACGGCGGACCTTTTTTTCTTTTTTTCTTCTTGCTGGGCATGAGGGTGTCACGTCACAGAGCAAGTAATAATAGCCCACAGGAACGACGCTGGTGTGGGGCTCTCACAGTGATGTATTGCATGCTGTGCGTCCCCTGTAATCTACCTTGGGACAGGTAGGCTTCAGTGTGCTTTAACGGTGCGCCACACTTCCAACCTATTATTACCGAGCTCTGCCGTCGGGTGAACGAGGGTGGCATTGTTACACAATTTACAGCACATTTGGCAGCAGTTCGTCAGTGGAAGAAAACCAAGGAGGATCCTTCTGGTTCTAAGACTTATTGGGTTCCTTCCTTGGAATTCTACCACTCACAGTGCTTGCAATTTTTTTTCCCTGCAGACTTCCAATGGGGCTGATTCCCGCCAAAACTTTTTTTGGCCTTCACCACCTTTTAATTTTTCTTAATTTTTTTTCAATTTTGCGTGACTGGATGGGGGGGGGGGGGGGATCTTTCTGGACCCAGTGCCAGTCTCCCGAGTCCCATGTGTTAAAAAAAAAAGAACTTTCCTCCACATTTTGGTTCCGTAGCCTTGTCTCCGCAAAAGCCTCTTTTTTTCCCCTCGTCATCATCCATCTTCATCCATGGCTGGTGTGCAATTGCTTTAACATTTGCTGCCTATCCAGCTGGCCTGCTGCTGTATCTATCCTTTTTCTTCTTTGTGCCTTGACTCGACAGCCATTCATCATCGCCAATCTCCACTCCCCGGCATCGGCCACCCCGCCTGCATACCAAACGAGGACGACGACTTACGGCGACGACGACGACGACCACAAGTCAAGCCTTTCTTCCTCCAAATTTGTGTTCGAGGGACAAAACGCGCACATCTTGAGCGGAGAAGACAGAGAACCAGAACGCCGTCAAAATGGTCCGCAATCTCGTTCTGCTGGGGGGGAACTCCCACCCTCAGCTCACAGACAGCATTGGCAACATTCTCGGCATCCCTACCTGCAGCCGAATTCTTACCAAGTTTTCTGGTGGTGAGAGCCGCTGCGAGATCAAGGACTCTGTACGCGGCAAGGATGTGTACATTGTCCAGTCCGGGTCCGGCAGCGTCAACGACAACCTCATGGAGCTCTGCATCATGATCTCAGCCTGCAAGACTGGCTCGGCTAAGCGCGTTACGGCCGTCGTGCCTCTCTTCCCTTACTCTCGACAGCCCGACTTCCCGTATAACAAGTCGGGGGCTCCCCTGTCCAGGAACCACGACTCGTCCTCCCGCAAGGACTACACCTTTGAGAGCGTCCCCGCCACCCCACGTCCCGGCCGCGGTAACAACAATCCTGGAATCCTCAACGGGGTCAATGGCCTTGCCGAGAAGCTCTCCAAGGCTGCCATTGCCGAAAACGCTTCTGAGGAAGCATCTGGAAGCAATGGCGATAGCAACAACAGGAGATCCGATACCATTTCCAGCATCGGCTCCACCACCAGCCGCTACAACAACGAGCCCTCCTTCACCACTCACGACTACGAGAAGCCGGCCCACGCCGCTGCCTTCCAGGCAAAGCCCGGCTACAAGCAGTGGGTCGCCTTGGCGGGAACTCTTGTCGCTGATCTCCTCACCTGCGCCGGTGCCGATCACATCATTACCATGGACCTCCACGACCCCCAGTACCAGGGTTTCTTCGACATCCCCGTCGACAACCTCTACGGCAAGCCCCTTATCCAAAACTACATCCGGCAGAATATCCCCGACTTCCGCGATGCCGTTGTCGTCTCCCCCGATGCTGGAGGTGCCAAGCGTGCTTCTCTCATCCGAGACAGCCTCAACATTGATTTTGCGCTGATCCACAAGGTATGTCCTCGCCGTCTCTTTCCTGACATCCTAGTACAAAGTAAACACTCGGACATCATGCTGACCCCCCTTTCCCTCATAGGAGCGCCGCCCTATCAAGTTCACTGAGCAGCGCAATGCCAGCATGATGCTGGTTGGCGACGTGGCCAACCGTGTCTGCATCCTCGTTGACGATCTGGTTGACACGGGAAACACCATCACACGTGCCGCCAAGCTTCTCAAGCGCGAGGGAGCCACCAAGGTCTACGCCCTCGTCACCCACGGTGTCTTCAGCAGCGACTCCATCTCTCGTCTCAACGCCTCGGCCATTGACAAGATCATTGTCACCAACTCTGTGCCCCAGGACGAGCACCGCCGCATGTGCCCCAAGCTCGAGGTACTCGACATCTCCCCCGTTTTTGCCGAGGCTATTCGCCGTGTCCACCACGGAGAGTCTATTAGCGTCCTCTTCCAGTACACCTAAGTTTCGGTGCATTCCATCTAGATACAAACCTCCTTTTTCCATATCAAGCTATTTCCTTTCCCCTTTCATTGGGTCGATGGATAGAGCTTGGACCTAGGTTATTTCGCATCTCTCCTTCAAAGACTTCCTTGACAAGCGGGTCTGGCTTGGAAGGGTACAAGTATCTTGTTCCTCCCACCAAGTTACGGTCTTTGCACTACTACGGAGTTTCTGGGTTATATTGACTTTTTTTCCTTTGCTTTTCTCTTTACTCCCATTGGATTCATTTTTACTACTCGGGTTTGGTCTTTTCTCTCTCTCTTTTTTTTTCCCCCATCCGTTTTCCCAGGGCATCTCTCTTTGGCAGCTCAGACCTTCTCCATTTCTCAACGAACGGGTAGACTTTGTCATTTCTAGAGATACGGACTCCTGGGGGCTCGCTGCCTGAACATGGGACACGGGAGTGGGTGAAAGAGAGCCAGCGCGAAGAGGGGATTCTCTACTATCGTCTGGCTTCCACTGTACCAGTGCGCTGCTTGTTCTCCTGGACAGGTACAAAGGATGTGCCCGTCTCGGAAGAATACTTTATGTATGGTTATTGCGCGTCGTAGAACCATATATATTTCTATTCTTTTTCATGTCCTTGGGGCAGCATGCTGTCATGTGGGATGTGCTCATGTACAGGCTGTGTACATGATACCTTTTTGTCATTTACGTCCTGCATTAGGAGTCTCTTTTATACATACGGAACTGAGACGGAGTTATCTGGCAACTGTCTTGTCTTTTTTATGTTCTTTCGTTTGGGCTGATAGAGAAATACGGACTGGGGTGGGCATTGATCGGCGTTGATCGGAGCAAGGGAAGGATGATCAAGTCCAGGGAGTATCGCCATTATGAGGCTGTCAAGTCGACAGCAGATGAGAAGCCCGAGACGGGCATACAAAAGCAGAGAAAGTCGGCCACAAGGCCTCATACTCATAGATTTAATATCAACAATCTGGATGCTTCGGATAGTTTGCTGGTGTAGCCGCTTAAATTTGCACCTACGGGACACGATTGGCACCACAATGAGAACTGTGTGCAGCCCCAAAATGGCTAGAGTAATGGGTGCTGATCGTCAGCATCCTTATTCCCCCACAACTTCGGCCTCCCGGTCATCTCGAAGTCCGTGGACGTCGCTGTCGCACACACACACACACTCTCCTTTATGCGAATTGGTCGCAACAGCGTCGACGGCGGCCATTGTTTTGTTTTCCTCCCTCTTTTTCACTTCTAGTCCATACGCTCCTTTTGATCGACTCCGGCCATGCTGTGAGATTGGCCTTTTTCTCCTATTTTTGTTTTGCAGCCACTAGGGGGCCATCATCATTACTACCTCCCCCAATGTGGTGGTCAACGGGGTCCCTGAATACAACAACATGACCAAGCGGCGTTTCCGACTGTGGTCCCCCCGCCTCACGACGCGACGCCTAACTCTTTTCACCGGCCTCCTCTCCCTAGCGGCAATCACACTCATCATCTCTCTCTCGTCGTGGACACCGCAGTCGCCAAATCTACCCGACAGCGACATCAAGGAGCAGACGGCGGATGACACGCAGCAGCAGGAGCAGCAGCAGCAGCCCCCGCCGGCGCAATCGCAAGCTCAACCTGCACGGGCACCCCCGAGACGAGAACATGACGAATACGCCGGCTCATCGTGGTGGACGGACGAGGCCTGGCTGTCTGCTCCTATATCCGGTGCTCTGACCAAGGACAGCCGTGTGCTCCTACCGCCTCTGCCCGAACGACGGCCGATATACTGCTATCGTAACGACGAAGACGAGCGACAGGACGGAGAGGAGAAGGAGGCGGAGGACGCACTACTCCTCACTTGGAGACGCGCATGGTGGGTACGGGGGTTCAACCCCGTCGTCCTCGGCTCAGGGGACGCGGCTAAGCATCCGCGCTTCGGGGAGGTGAAGCGCCGCGGACTTGAGTCAGCACTGGAGCTTGAACTTCTGAGGTGGCTCGCGTGGGATGCTGCGGGAACGGGTGGGGTTCTCGTCGAGTCCACGGTTGTTCCTATGGGGCCGCCATCCGACGACCTGCCGTCTGCCCTGCTGCACCCGGTGCTGACGATGTGGAAGGGCCTCCGAGGCGCGCTGGTATCTGGGCCAGCAGGGTCCGTCTCGTCGGCGGTACAGGCTGCGCTGGACACGACCACGGCAAAGAATGTGGTTGCCATGCTGCCCAGGGAGACACTCCGCGTCCTAGATGACCCGGCCCCGTCGTCGGTGGCGTATTACTCCCCTCGGACCGTGTCAAAGCGCTACGCTGCCGTGGCCCGCGCTGCGTATCACGGCGGCAGGGCCGCGGGCTTGAGGTCCCTCGATACGCTGATCAATACGCACCTCCACGCTGCGTGGCAGGCTGGCTTCCCACAGGGTATAGATGTGCTCAAGCCGTTCCCCCTGCACACCACGAGGATGACCAGCCAGGCTGTTGCGCTCGCCGAGTCGCTTGCCGGCTGCCCCATCATGCCGTCGGCCGGCTGCCCGCCCAATATGCCCAGGTGTGCTACGCCGTGCCGCGCGCAGCCCGTGTCGACGGGTAGCCAGTACCGCGGGAGTCAACAGGGGGTGTTCACTCTCGGCGTTGTGCCGCATCCTTGGACCTTGGCCGCCCTCGATATGCTGCACGACACGCTCGATGTGCAGCACCGCGGTGCAGCGCATGATGTGTGGGTGGCCACGGTGATGGGGGAGCAGGGCGGCGCGTCCATCCGCTCGTTCAAGGAGATTGCTGCTGCCGGCGCCGGCACTTCATCTCTCTGGCTCACGGCCGAGGATCCCCTCCCCGTCGATCTGGACTGGATGTTTGGCTTTGCCCTGCCAAGGAGGCACCTCGCCGTCACGACGTCAACAAGTCCCCCTGTCGTTGCTGCCGCTGCGGTTAATCCCGTCGAGGATCCGGCGTTAGAGTGGATCCTGCTCGAGCGCGCGAGACAGATTGTCGCCGGCGACGACAAGGACAAGGACGATCTGAATGCCAGGGCTGAGCTGGAGGAGTGGAATCCCGCTGATACTGAGGCGTGGAAGTTTGCTCGCGGTATGCTTGCCCGGGGCGCTCTGGAACGGGCGCTCAGCGGGGCTACTGTGAAGACACGAAGAAGAATTTAACTACGACACATGATACAAAAGAGGGTACTACATGCCAGTACTACTTGCAATGATATAACGCTGGACACACAGGAGGAATAATGGTCAGGGGTGGATGCTTGACAAACTTCTTACGACATGACGCAGAAGGTATTTGTATATACAGTAGTTGCCATGTCGTCTAATTTAGGGGATGGAGGGAGGGCTTTCGGTATATATGTACTACAGTGTATAACACAACTTGCTTGGAAGAACGGTTTAGCATTTCGTATAGATATGAAGGACGAGGGCTCGTATATGACCTCTAAACACCAAGGGTTGTTGAAACACTTGGTTTACACACAAAAGAGAAAAAGGCTTCCGGAGGAGGGGTAATTGGGAGGAACAAATGGCACAAACGTATCATGTTTGTCGCCTGCTCCTCTCCCCCCCCTCC